AAAAAAAAAAAAAAAAAAAAAAAAAAAAAAAAAAAAAAAAAAAATTGGGGAGAAAATGAGCCTGCCCGGCTCGGCCCGTAAAAAGCCCGAGCTTGGTGTACCACTGGAGCAAAGCAAAGGCAAGGGAGCTGATAAAGGTGAGATAGTGCGAAAAGCCAAAGGCGCGAGCCCGAGTGCCCTAATATAGATATGGAGGGAATTACATAAGTAAGGTTGGACTCGCTCGAGCCCGCAAAAAAGCTCGGTCATTTTAACCGAGCCGAGCCGGAGCCGAAATTTTAGGCTCGCGAGCCGGCTCGGCTCGTTTACATCCCTAGTTGGGTGGGAAGATGTTGGTTTGGCTTCTATGAGATGGGGCGGGGTGGTAGGGAAAGAAGAAGAATCTTTTTTCAAATTCTTTTATTTTTATTTTTATTTTTGGTTTTTTTAATTTAATTATCTTAATTCTTTAATATATAAAAGTTCGAAGTTACCTTTTTACCCTTTAAAAATTAGTCAAAATTTGATCAAAATGTTGACTCTAGGTCAACTAACGGATGAACTAACAATTTTCATCAATTTGGACTACAGGTGCGAATTTTTGAAAGGTTTGATATCGTGGGTGATACAGATGAAAGATATGGGTCAAGTCTACAATAAAATGAAAGATTTGGCACCGTGGCTGCAATTTTCCCAAAAAATTACTATTCCAAAATACATTTTTCCACAAAATTTGATTGTAATGGAATGCAAAACAAGGGCGTAATGTATGTCATCCTGCCACAATTGCTTCATGTGATCACAACATGTTGCTGAATACTTGAACTCTATTAGATGATTCATTTTGCAACTGTCTACGTGTTCACTAGTGATTGTAATTTATTATTGTTTACTGAATAACTTATATCTACAGATTATGTTGGTTAAGTAGAAATCTGCCTTATGAAAATTGGCAATGTTATGTATAAATTATCCCTCATTAAGCATTATTTCGCACAAAATTTGACCCAAGAATAATATAAGGATCTCCAGAATTACAAAACTACATTACATGGTTAGTAGATAGCTGTTAGCAGCTCATGAACAAATTTGATTTGGTTCATAAACCCTTTATATAAAGCATGAATCACCCTGAGTCTTCTCCTGCCTTCTGTTCATCAAACCAAATAAAAATACACCAAAAGATATAACCTTCTGATATCCAGCACCAGCTCATTAAATACACCATTCTCAAGGGTCAAATATTCACAAGATCCAGTAGAAATGATGGTAGATACCATACGGACTGTATTTAAGCTACTTCTTCGCATCGGAAAGCAAAACACAAAAGAAGACCTTTCACAGGCCACCCAAAAAATCCACAAATAAATCAATAACCCAGATTAGAAACCTCCTACCTACCTCCCACCAATTCCAAGAAAGTTATATCATGTCAATACAACTGACAAAACATCAGAATAATTCATTCCATGGAACTACTTGCATATGCTGATTTACATAAAATTTTACTAAAATTACCCCAAGCTTTCATGTGCTCAGCTACTTTACTCACACACACACACACACACACAAAATTTAGCTCAAGAAAAACTACATTCTTGGAATTAAAAAGTAGAATTTCCCTATCAAAATTTCTTAATAGTTGTTGAACAATGAAATACACCTCGCGAATTCAACCTTGGGGCGAAGGAAAGAGAAGAGCGAGGAGAATTAAGAAGCAAAAAGGTTTGCATAAAAATCATGAACCACTCACCATATCCAGGATGGCTACAAGCTGTCGATATAAGGCATGTAGGTGGATGGATAAAGCGTGATTCACAACATAATTGTTTAAAAGATAGCTGACAAGAAGCAGCCACTTAGCATAGCGAAGAAACGATGGAACTACCCCAACGCTTGGTGGGAAATCTATAAATACCCCCCTCATTTAAAGAAGATGGGATGCAATTCAAATATTTCCATCTCAAATAGTTATTTCTCCTCTTGCTCTAATTAAAGCATCAAGACTAGTAAAATTAAATGGTGAAACTCATAGTTAATTGAGAGGATTTGGTGATTGTATTTAAATTGATATCCGATTGAAATTGTTTCTGTTCGTTTAATTCAATTTGTACCATTAGTCTATAAAATAACATCTTAAACCTCCCGCTTTCACTTCAATTGGATTGATTAAAAAATAGATTATCTTCCTCGACTTTTTCCTCCCTAAATCAACAAATAAAACCTTTCCCAGATTAAATTCTTTCAATCCTCAACTAAGAGATCAAGACTGAGTATCAGTGTCAAATCAAGTCAAACCCTAATAACCAACAGTCAAACAATAGATCTGAAAAATAATTCGGAAACTTGAAGTGTGAAAATGAAACTACAGAAGACCATTAAACCGTAATCGAAAAAACTAAGGGTTCAATAGCTTGTTTACCTTTCCTATGTGGGTGGATTGAACGAATGGCAGATGGACGAGAAGCTGTTACTTTTTAAGGGGAGGGAGAAGATGGAGAGAGAACTTTGATGAATTTCTATTGGGCCAACTTTTTATGACCTCACGTTGTGCAGCTCACTATGTTAAATAATATTTTTCTAATTTAGTCCCCGTTTGATAACAATTTTTCACTTTAAAAAATTGAATTTTTATCATTATTTTACTATTTTAAATTGTCATTTTTTACTTATTCATAAATAAGATTCACTTTTTTCTCTAACAGTAAAAAAATCAATTTTCATAAGAACAAGCCACAAATAGTAATGAGTAAAAACTATAATATTTTGCAATGGATGCATTGTTAACTTGGACTAGGGATGATAATGGAACGGAAGTGATTTTCGAGAGAGAGGATGAAGGTTGAGAGGGATGAAAATATTATTCTTTATTTTTATTTACTTATTTATTTATTATTATTACTTTGTAAAAATAATATTATCTGCTATCAATTATAGAAATAGTTAGGGAATGTATGATATTGTTGAAAGTAGGGCTGTAAATAAAAATCGTGAAGCCGGAAAATCATATTGAAGTCGCATTTTAGAAATCGTCGGTTTGGTGCCACATGGACCCGATCAACGAAATGATTTTGACCCAAACCAAACTGGTCAAAATAGTTTGGTTTAGATTTGAAAATTTTAATTATGGTTTAAAACCAAACCGAACCGACGAAAAAATATATAACAATGAAAAAATGAAATTTTTTGAAAATTCATCCAAATATGTAAAATTCAATAATTTTGTCATTTATGGGTATTTTTGTCAATTTCTACCTTTTTAATACAGATATATTATTATTATTATTATCATCATCATCCAATAATCCTAATATATATCTAATAAGTTCAATATTGACATAATCTATCAAAAACCTTTTTTCTCTTCAAAATTTAGATGAACTTTAGTCGACATCCAACTTGGTTTTGAGCCACCGGCACCACACACTTCATTTTCAGATTTTTCACGCCTCTTCAAAGTTAAATTGAAATTCATTATACCAAATCGGAAATAAAGAAATCCTAGACTTTTGGTGATAATATTTGCTACAAATAAAGTTTTAGATCAATAATTTTTTTGGAGCAAACTAAGGTAATAATCTGAAATTAAATGCGTTTCGTAATATCATACAAACATAAACTTGTGTAATTGTTATGTTTAGATATTATAAACAATTGCTTTATTATTGTGGTTGGTTATTTTCTTTATTTAATCAGTATCCTTTTTCAGATATGATGATCACGAGATCTTGTTGGACATTATTATGTTTTTTGAGCCTTATATCTATTTAGTAGACTTGTATTGTAACGTTATTGTATCGTCATTAGCCTAAAAAAGGCGAACAAAAATGAAAAAAAAAACTATCTTTTAGTTTATTATGATTTCACTTTGATTTAGTTGGTATTTAAATTTATAATAGATATATTTAGCACCCATTTGAGCCATATTTTCCATATCATTATAATGAAAAAATTGACTATTGGAGAGGAGACTGAGTCTCACACATGAAACAATAAGTTAACAAAGGCAGCTGGACTTGTGGGATAACGGTCCAAATTTTCATTTTTTTGTCCCAAAAATTTGGTTCAAACAGGGGCTTAGTTTGTTTTAGATTTATTACTAGTAAAATATAAATATATATTGAATTCAATGAATTAATGACATAAAAATAGATTGACAAAAAAATATATGGCGAAATCGACGGTTTAAAATTGGACTAAACCGTTAGGTTTAGGTTTGAGTTTTTTTCAAACCGTTCAAAATGATTTGGTTTAGATTTGGGTTTTTTTCAAACCGTTTTAAATGGTTTGGTTTGATAATATGTCAAAAATCGGTAAAATCGGAACGCTTACGCCCCTAGTTGAAAGTCAATAAAAGACGATAGATTCCATGAAATTTGTGGTGAAATGTAAATAAAACTTAGGAAAAAATGCATAAACATCATACTTTTATTATAGTCCTTGTTTGACACCCATTTTTTTTTCCGGAAAAAATGCAATTTTAAACACTGTTTTAATATCATTTAAACCACACATTTTTCAATAAAATAATATTACACACAAATTCAATTTTTTCCTTATTTTTAATCACACATTTCCATCAATACGCTATTCAAAAATGCATTTTTCCTCTAAAATGGGACTCAAACAATGGCATAAATTTAGTGCATGTTTGACACGCATTATTTTATTTTATGATTTGCAATAGAGTCATTTTCATTTAAACATTCACATAATAAAATGTTCTACACATATCAAAAAAATTTCTTTACTTTTTAACTACACATTTTCCTAAAAATTGTTTTTAAAACTCTCTTTTTCTACAACAATGATTGTCAAACAGGCCAAATGTTAGGTGATCACAATTTGTGACCTCAAAATTTTGTGACCTATATCCATGAAAGATGTGATTGAGGTGGGTTAATGTAGAGAAGATTATGCAGTAAGAACATAAATTTATGTGTAGAGAGAGAGAGTCAAGCAAGTGATGGTAGTACCAGGTGTCAATGGACGGTGGGTGGCAATGTTTGTGCATTGGGAAATGGGGTATGGATTTGGGAAGAAATGAATGGATAGGGTGAGATTTTAAGGTTAAACCTCAACCTTGAGGGTCCCCATCACCCCACCTCTGGAGTATCGTGAGAGAGATAAATTGCAGGATATGTTCCAGCAAGTCAGAGAACAAGAGTTTGCTCGTACATTGGTACTCACAAAGAGTCAAATTTCATATCTCAGGAATCGAACACTCACACTACGGCTGCCAACAATGCTGAGACGACCTCATTCACGTTCTTTGCACCACTAGGTTATGCCCTGGGGGGCAGGGTGAGATTTTAAAAACTTATGCCGGGATGGGTACATGTCTTCCTAAAACTTACGCCTCCAATGAAATTTTTTGAAAAAAAATGAAGTTTTACTAGCTTGTTAACACATTAAAATAAGGAAAATTTGCAACACTGGCCATACAGATTTTACCCTAACCTCCATTTTGTATTAACGGAGGTTCATAACATTTCATAAATATGCACTTGAGATCTATCGAGACGAAAACCATCCAAAACATCGTCAGTTGACTGGAAAAATTAATAAATCAACATCCAATAAATTGTCCAAAAAGGTATCAATATCCAATAAAATCATCGCGACAGCATATAATTCAAGGAATTTTCCCAATCATACGACGGTGTTTTGGATGATTTCCGTCCAGATGGACCCAATGTGCATATTTACGAAAGGTTAGGGACATTTCCTAGCACAAAATGAAAGTAAGGGTAAAATTTACAAAAAATGAAAAGGTTTGGGATCGCTGCTGCAATTTTCCCTTAAAATAATAATAAAAAAAAAAAAGCCAAACAAACACTGGACAAAAAAAAAAATTCGAAAAATCGATCAAATCAATTAAATCAAACTAACTCGAATTGATTCGAGTTGGTTTAATACATTTATTTGGTTTAGTTTTCTTTTAAACAAAATTATGGTTGTTCGGTTCATTCATGATTTGAAATCTCAAATCGCTAGTTAATCAAACTAACATAACCCACTTACACGTTTACTTTAAAAAAAAATAAAAAAGCCATAGTCTAATAACTATATATCGATTTCCTTCAATTTATGATGTTGGCAATAAGTAATAGCATTTGAAATTTTCTTTCACAATCTCATTACGTTATATTCAGCATTTTTTCCCTAATCAGGTAGTCAAACTACATAAATATGAAAAAAATTAGCAAAATTCTTAAGTTTTCTATTGATCCATCTTAATTAATATAATTTTATTTGTTAGTAAATAGTTCTTGTAATATAGGCCATGTTTGAGTCTCGTTCTTTGGAAAAAAAAATACATTTTTAAATAGTGATTTGAGATCATTTTAATAAAATATTTTTCAATAAAATAATATTACACGCACATTCAAAACATTTTTCTTATTTTTAATCACTCATTTCTTATCAATACATTATTTAAAAATGCATTTTTATGAAAATAATGTGGCTCAAAGAAGGGCATAAAGTTATTTAGTTATTTCACTTTTTGTAATCTAATTGGATCCAAAACTCGGACTTTTTAAAAAATAATTCAATTTTGATTAAAAGCTCAAATCAACTAACCGAACCAATTGGTTTAAGAGCTATAGTGGGTTGGTTTGTGTTGAAATTCATTGAAATTGACTGATTTGATTTTGGTTTCGGGTTGGACTCGAAATCGATCCAGACCAAACCGCTTTCGAGCCTACTTATATCCAGTTGAATCAATCAACTTTGGTGGAATTAAGTACTACTACTACTATTATGTCTCCTTTAATGTAACTTACATGAGATTAAGCCCCTATTTGAAATGGATTAAAATTTCCAATTTAAATTTAAATTAAAATCAACGATTAATTTTAATTACATATTTTATAGGATTCATACATTTTCAACAAAATATTTAATCAAATTTTTTTTAATCAAAATTTACTAAAAATTTGATTTTACGCCCCCACCAAATAGGGATTAAATGAAATGGATGCTTATGCATCAAATTTGAACTCGAATTCAATGAAATGAATTTTAAATTAAGTCTATCTTATTTGGTGGAATTAACTTATGGATACATCAAATTGACACTATGATACAATGAAAATATGTAAAAAATAATCAACACTCTAGATATCTGGGCGCGGGTCGGTTCGGCCGAACCAAACTTTTCGAATATTTAGTAAATGGAATCGTCGGGTCCAAATATAATTAGGGAACTGTTCGGGTTCGGTTCGGTTCGGTTCGGTTCCGTTTGGTTCTGTACTATAATTAAATTTTTTAACATTTATAACAATATTATATAAATACAACTATTGATACATTCAATGATTTTTGAATGTCAGAGACTAGTAAACTAACTTGTTCAAATGATCGCTACGATCAAAGTTTCGGTCGGCTGAGGTCACAGCTTCGATCGGAGGTCACAGTGTCGGCTAACGATTATATAAGTTTTGGAATATTAGTGAGGCTACGAGAGTGAGTGCGAGAATCGAGATAACGTTATGCACTTTAGTGTAGGTGTTTAGGGTTATTTAGTGG